CATTTGTTATTGTGTGATTTCTTGATAGCAGCCATTCTTTGTGGGGTGAGGTGGAATCTCAGTGTTGTTTTCATCTGCATCTCTCGAATGACCAGTGATGTGGAACATTTTTTCATATATTTTCTTGCTGCTTTCACTTCTTTGTATGAGAAATGTCTGTTCATTTCGGATGCCCATTTTTGGATCGGGTCTTTATATTTGGGGGGACTGATTGTTTTGAGTTCTTTATATATCCTTGATAATAGTCCTTTGTCTGAGGTACAGCTGGTAAAAATTTTTTCCCACATTGTAGATTGTCTCTTAGTTCTGCTAATGGTTTCTTTTGAAGTACAGAAGCTTTTTAGTAAGATGAGATCCCAGTTGTTGATTCTTTCTGCTAGTTCCTGTGCTACTGAGGATTTTTATATTTTCTGGAATTTTGCAGACTAATTGATAGCTGTCATGTAATACTTTGAAATTATCTAGGGTAGGAGTATTTGCCTGAAGGATATTATATTAGTAGATGTTGTGAATCAGACTCTTTCTTTTTCTGCAGAGAACTGGTTTTTAAACTTTGAGCAGCATTCCTTTAACCTTGGTTGCTCTGATGATATCTACAAATTATTTCTCCTTGATTTTATTTTATTGTTTTTTTAGTTTTAATTTTTATTAGTTACCCATTTGCAGTACATAATGATTACATTCATCATGTGGAATGGTTCATGTAACATAATACATCTTAATTTTTTTTTATATACCCTTTCATTCCCCTTTCTTTTTTTCCTCCCTCCATTTTTTGGTCCCTTTCCCATTTGCAAAAGACTTATGACTTACATGTATAATTCACTAGCAGATGAAATGTTTACTTTTTACCTTTAGTAGTAATTTTTGATGTGCCTTCTTGGTTTTAAATATTTTGGAGGAAGAATGGAACTAAGTGCTTTGATTTGATTTGTAAGATTTTAGAAATACATGTGAATTTATTTCAGAAGTTTGTTTTAATTCTTGATTCTTTTTCATAATTAATTGCAGTGCAGTCATTGGAGAAATTGATGAAGAGACAGATTCTGCACTTGACTTGGGGAATATTCGAGCAGAGCCTCTAAACTCTGTGGCACACTGAGGAAAAATGGCATGCACTAGACATCTGTAAATCTTGTACAGAAACTGTTCTGAGGATGCTGTTCGGAATTTTTATCAACATGTTAATTGTGGATTTTGCCTTCATGTTGACTCATTGTAATATGTAAATCAAAATATTTCTATGTTTTTATTGAAAAAACTTTTTTTGCCTAAATTATAAGTGTGGTAGCTTCATTTTATTTTTCTACGGAATGATATGAAAATCTAATGGTTTTGAAAACTTAAGAAAATTCGTACTTTCTGACATTTTAATATTTATGGAAAAGTAGTTGAATTTTTGAGTTATATAGATCATGCATGCAAGTAAGCTGTATAAGATACATGTATTTCTTTCCAAGATTTTAAAGAAAGTCACCAGAAGGTGATCTGATGATATCTAAACAAATCACTGGAATTTATTCCACTGCCCTAGTGGTATTGGTAATACCAGTGCTTTTAAAAGTTACTCTCTAGCACTTAGAGATGTGGGTAAAAATGTGTTTGGTTGAGTAAAGAAAGAATACCAACAAAGTTTTAATAATTTAGATTTAAAAACTAACATATGAATATTAAAGATGAGGAAGAGAGGTAGGATAGTAGAGAAGATAATTAGCAAAACCTTTGTATGACCAATAAGTTAAATATGAAAGTAATATGAACATGTTAATACTAACTTTTAACAGTATATTATCTGAAAAATTGATGCCAGATAGTCTTAAAAGCCATTGTAGTTTTTCACTTGTAAGAATTGGGAAATTTCTAATATCAAAGAGTTTTTGTTGTTTTTCTATGTGGGTAAATAAACCTTAGATTTATATTGTAGCAGAGCTTGCTGTTGCCAACAGTTTTCCATGATTGGCTACTTCCATAAATCTGATTGGTACACTTGGTTTTTTAAAGAATGCATAGAGGGCAACCCACTTTCTGGTCGCCCTTCAATCTCTCTTCAGAAGAAGCTTTCTTTATTCCACTAAATTTTTCCTACTCTTAAAATCATAGAAACAAGGTTATAAGTATTATTTTGATAATACAGGTTAGTCCACAAAAACTGGTAATGAAGAAAATTTAAAAATAGTTGTATCCTTATAATTCTAACAACATTTAAATAGTTTTTTAATATGAAAGTATTTAAGATAGAGGTTGGGAAACTTTTATGGTAAAGATGTAAACATTAAACACTTTAGACTTTGTTGGCCATGTAATCTCTGTAGCAGGTACTCAGCTGTGCTGCTGTAACAAGCAGGGATAAATACAAATACACGAATAGTCGTAGGCTGTAAAGATACAGTCACAGCTGTTTGCTAATAAAACTTAGGATTTGCCTTGAAAGCCAAATAGTTTGCTGACTCATGGCCTAAACTAATAGTTCAGTAAGAAGAGAAACTTCCCACTTTGTATAAATTTGGAAAAGGGCTTTGGGAATGGATCAGTTTAGAGTTTAGAGATGAGTTTCATATACATTTTTAAATATTTAAAGCTTTAGCACATAATTTTGGCTAATAAAACTAGTAAGGAGAGAGGTGTTTTAGTTTTTTCCATAGGTCATGAAGCATGATTACTTTGAGATAACTTGGTTGATATTCGGTGCTGTAATTACAAGCTTAGCCAGTCAGTATTGGCTACTTATAAATACTGGCTTTATAGGATAAGAATTTAGAATTAATTCAGTAATGAATTGAAAATAATGCAAAGTGGGTAAGATAAACTCAGGGACTGAACCAAATATTCTATTTTAATAAATAATATTTTAAGTTACTAAGCTAATTTCAGAAATTTAATAGGAAAACAACATTAGCTCTCTAAGAACTATATTCTAACTGTAAATGAAATAGAGTCAGGTATTTTTCCAAAATACTTCACATATGAGCACAAGTTATATATGAATAAAACAATAAATCTGGAAATGGATTCCTAATATGATGTATCCTCATTTTAAAAATAACTTAGATGTGTTCTGGTAGAAAAATTCCCAAAATAATAATGACTTTATCAATGATAAACAGATCAATTGAATGATACTGTAGTGATATACCTATTTTTTCCTAGATGCACATAGCAGACTTAACCAGTTCAAATTGAATTTATTTTTTCACGAAAACTGAAGGGAACCACAACCATGAGTGGTGATATGATTGATATGTAATATCAAATTTTTTGTATTCCTTAATGGAATTTTAAGCAGAGCCTCAAATCAATTGAATTCTGTAATTACCTCTGTCCTTTGTGATTCAGGCACAGGTACAATCCAAAAATAATTTATAATAAATTAAAAGTGTTTCTTAGTGAAGATAATTTCATTAAAGCTATTTGAAAAATATAATTAACAGCAAAAAGGACGTAAGTTTTTTTATTTTTAACTGAAAAGTTAACTATCTAAAATAATAGTTTAAAATAGTTTGCTTTCAGGTTAAAGAAATTTGATGAGTTAAATGGCCTCAAGCTGAGGCTTCTGACTTAAATATTACAAATTTTGGTTCCTAGGGCAATTGATACTAAAGGTAAACTTGTATTAGTATTTGCTTCTCTTAAATATATTTAATACCTTAATCTCCCTGACCTTTTAAGCTAATGTGTGATGTAAATAGGACTAAACACAACTTTTAAATGATGCTTAATGCTAATATGTGATAATCATGTCAATATTTTTTTGTTTGTTTGTTTTTTGGTACCGGGGATTGAACTTGGGTCCTTGTGCTTGCAAGGCAGGCCACCAAACCACTGAGCTAAATCCCCAGCCCATGTCAGTATTTTTCTTAGACAAGTAATGTTAAGATTTGCTGTGTATGTAACAAAGTAAATATTCCCCTCTTAGGGGCATGTCAACCTACTTGTCTAGTAGTTAATTATAAAGAAATGCTTAATTGATAAGGTAGTATATTTTGGCCCATAACAATCAAAATTAGTGAGTAGTAGTTTTTATTTATTTCCTGCCTATTATATTCCAGGCCTGATGCTAAATCCTTATAACAGTGATCACAGCAGTGATCAACAGGGAGATTGAGGCTTATCAGCGTTAAGTGCCTTACATTTATCCCAGTAGATAATAACAGGCTTCTTTAACTTTTTGAGCTTCTTTTACTTAGGTTATTCTTTGTCACTAGATAGTGTAATTTCGAAGTGGAGCATCAGAAACCTGAATGAAAAAAATAGATGATCTAAGGCAACTGCTAAAGCTGCACTGTGGGTCATTTTCATTATAATTGTCTGAGATGCTTTAAAAATATTCCTGAGCCCGACTTTCTTTGATTGTAGTTCAGTACTTCTATCATTGGACAAAAAGGGATGGTCGCTAACAGCAAAAGAAAACATGATACAATTATTAAAAGACTAACACTTGTGTGCTAGGATAAATCTCCACAAAATCGTGAAGATTTACTGATCTTTGAGCTGTGACAAAATTAGATGTAGCATTTAAGACCCTTAATGTGATTTTTTAAGTCGTAATAAATAGCTATTCTAACTACTTAAAGGCCAAAATAGGTTTCAAATGTGGCTTTTGTCATTTCAGTTTAGTCTGTCCCATGGCTACAAGAAACCTGAGTATATAAGTTTGAAGAATTCAGGTTATGTGAAAGGTATGTATAAGTTTATAGTGTTTTAGTGAATATGAGTAGAATTAAATTTGTTTCTATCCTCTAGACTTAGAATTTAAAAGGTAAAATTCTAAAGATTTGTGAAGAGGAACCTCTTCATTTTTAACTTATTTTTTGGTGTGTGTATGTTGGTGGGGAGAGGCTGGTTTGAGATAGGGTTTTCCTGTATAGCCATACTGCCCTTGTACTTATTCACCTCAGCCCCCCTCGTCCTGGGGTTACAAGCATGTGTTACCATGCCTCACTTTCCTTTTTCCTCCTTTTTTTTGGTTTAATGAGACAGGGTCTCATTAGCCCAGGATAGCCTTGAATTCTATGTAGGCCAGGATGGGCTCAAACTCAGTCCTTCAGCCTCTGCAGTACTGGGAATGCAGGTATGTGTCACCACACTCAGCTATTCTGAATTTTTATAGTTATTTGCTCATTTCTTAGATTATGCCATTTTAAATTTCACTTTATTTATTTTGCCTTTTTATTTTTTAAATTTGGGCTCTTCGAAGATTTTCAAAATTTTTAGTCTTGGGCAAAGTTGATAAAATTGCTTTTTATTTACATAAGTGACTGAAAAAAGCAAGATGGAGCCGTCTCCTTCTGTCTTGATAGTGATCCATTAAACAGCATACTGCTCGTTCAACCAGCAATACATTTATTTAATTGCAGAAAATCGAGTTCTTTATATCTTGTTTACAGTGTGAAATATGGCCAGATGCTTTGATGTGATCTTTATTCTTCTTAGTCTTAACTGTATAACTTTGGCTTATTTGGTCTTTGTGAATTGATACTTCTACTTAGCGATCAGTGCTTCCTTTGCTCTGTGTCCTCAACTTTAAAAAATAGATTTTTGGAATTTTGTCAGGGACATGTATAAGCCATTAATACATTCTAGGCACTGTATGTGAAGATATGTATATACCAAGGAACAAAATTAACATGTTCTTCTCTTTGTGAAGCTTGTGTCTGTTAGCCAAATCATCTTCACTCAAAGGTTTACTATCTCTTAAAGCTCATGAGTTATTCATCAGATTATTTCAGTATCCTCGGATGTATAATTTATGAGACCTGGATTCATTTAAAGCAACTACAAATGATCTTAAGTGGATATAATTCATATGAATCATTTTGCCCATCATTCTTTTTTTCTGCTTTAAGATTTCTAAGTGTATAGGTTGCATAACTCCTAACAAATGAAGGCAAAATAGAACTTCACTAACAGAATTTTCTACCATTAGTTAACATATAACATCTGCTGCCTACTGGTAGCATTTGGCAGATAAAGGAGTTGGAAACTGTTCTTAAAGACATCTTTGAAAGATGAAGATATAAATTTTAGTATTAAGGCTTTTTAAAAATCCATTATTTGTGTTAAATCTTTTTTGTACTTTTTTGGTTCATTTTCTGTCTTTTTTATACATTTAAAAATTATAGATTATTACTTGCCAGAAATAGCATGGATCAAAAATTATTACAAGTTGCATCAAATTCCTATTTAAGGCTGGGTTTGGTGTCGTGTGCTTGATCCTAGCACTCTGGGATCCTGGGGTGAGAGGTTGGCAAGTCAGAGCACTTTACAGACTTGGTGAGATCTTGCCTCAAAACTAATCCATGAAACAAAAACCCAGAAAGGGCTGAGAATGTAGCTCAGTACCTAGGTTCAATCCTACTACTGGGGCGGGGGGAAACAAGTTCCATTTTATTCGATATCAGTGTTCTATGAGCTGCATCATATGGCTTAATGCTCAGTTAAAAACATTTTACTTTTAGTTTTCTTTTCCCTGTATTAATTAATTTTACAAATAATGAAAAATTATTAGATTTTTATTACATTTGAAATATATTGAGGGGCCAGGGATTTAGCTTAGTGGTTTGGTGGCCTGCCTTGCAAGCCCAAGGACCCGAGTTCGATCCCCAATACCAAAAAAAAGAAAAAAAATTGAAAAGAATTCAGGAGTAAGGATGGTGTTATAGACATCTCCTGGGGGATAGTGTGTTGTCCTATGTATTAAAAATGAGAGTGTGTGGGGGAGGAGAGCAGATAAGGAGCTAAAGTGTTCAAGAGCTGAAGATGTGTACAACATAGATGTGTTTTTCTTAATGTGTCTTTTATCAGGAAAATGCACCATAAGAAAACTCATTAATGGCCTACAGTTTATATAACATTTTAAAATAAGTGACCTAGAAGAAGTTATAATGAGTTAAAAGTTAAAATTAAATTTTTTTTTTTATTATTTTAAAAGTTTTTATCTTAAAAAGCATTTTAAGCCTGACTATATGTCAGCCTGACTTGACACGTGGATGATTTGTAGAAGGAAATTTCTAACTAGGATCTTACATGAGGCCAATATAGCATGGCAGTGGATGTCACGGGCTTTGGAGTCAGAGTTGATTTGTAGTGCTACCCTGTAAATTTTCCCTTACCTTGATTGCTCCAGTTAAAAACAAGACAGAAATACTTGCTTTTGGTTTATGAAGATTAATAAAGTACTTGGAATACTGTCTGGAATATACTAATTTGTCAGTAGTAATAATAGCTAACATTTATCGTAATACTGCATGATAGATTTCATGTTACATGTTGTAACTTAAGAAAAATATTCAAATAATTAAGAGTATTTTCTGATAGTTATTTGATGGGAGAGGATACAAAACTAGTAAAATTTTGCCAGACCTAGAAGTTTACTGGGAATGAAAATGTCTTTCCCTTACATGAAAAGTAATGTGATATTTTTGCCACGACTTTTAAATAGAAATGAGACAGGAGATTAGGGTGTGGCAAACTGGCTGGGGAAGGAGCATGACTTGTTGATCAATGACTTCCAGAACATAATGCAGAACATTTCCCAAACCCCTGCCCTTGGAACTAATCAGAGAGTGGTTTTTGATACCATGGCATAGACCCTACGTCAGCCTGAGAAGTAAGAGACAAAAAGACTGCTACCATCATGCTTGGGCCTCTGTCAACTCTTTCAGCGGCCCAGCTGTGGTTTGCAGGGTGTGTCTGTTTTCTTATCTTTAGGTGGCCCAAAATTGCACTTCAGAGCATGTTTCTTTTCTTTTATTACCTTTAATAGATGTAAAACCTCACCACCCTTTGTGCTTATCTTGAATATTACTTTATTCAGGACAGAAAGAACCTAGAAACCATCTGTAGAAAGAGACTCCAGCACCCCAAAACCTGGTAACTCATACGCGCATGCATGTAGGCTTGTGTGCATGCACACACACACGTATACACTCACACACACAGATGTGCACACAAACCCCAGAGGAAGAGAAAATATAGGAAAAGTCTCCTAAACTGAAAGTGGTCAGAATTTATTAAAAGAAAAGATTTCTTTAAAAGGGGACCAACAAATCTGAAAGGAAGAATGAGAAAGAAGTTACATACTTGGTTGAATATTAGGACGATCCTTTGAAGATTGGAAAAATACGGCAAATGAAATTCTACATTAAAAAGTGAATGATAAACCTAATTCGTCAGTAATATACTTCATTTTCTCAATATTTGCTACGTTACAATTGTATCAGAGATTTGACATGTCCAATAGAGTAGGATTTGAAGGCAGTACATAAAAGTGTCTAAGTGCATGGCAGAGATGCTTCTGTAGTAGAGATATAGGAGAGCATGAAGAGGCGTCTTAGAAATGGATGTCCTGAGCTCTTAGGGAAAGTACAGATTTGCAGAGATGGGTTAGGAAACCTTTTCAAATTAGTAGACCCCAAAGCTGGAATGAACAAGATGTGTCTGAGTAATAAAGAAACTGATATACCCACTCAGTAAAGGGTTAGATACTTTATATTCCAAAGCATATACCTGTCCTTGACCAATTCCTGGGAAATAGCCTCTGAGCCTTTGGAATATCTGTTTTGTATTTCAAAGACCCTGGGCCATATAGTATCTTTTAAGGTCATGTGGGAACTGCATGTTTATATGACTGAACTAGATAAAAACCCAAGGTGCCAAGACTCAAGTGAACTTCTGGGGGGTCGGTTTAATACTTTGCATATGCTGTCAAATATTGTTGCTGAAATAATTACTGTTTGTGCAGCTCCACTGGAAGAAAACAAGTGAACACTTGTGCCTGGTTTCACCTTGATTTCACTATTTTTCTTTTCCTTTTGATGACTTTAATTTGTACGTTTCACTAGAATAAGTTGTAACCATGACCATGAATCCTGTGAATCCTGGCAAATCATCAAACCTCATGGTTGTGTTGAAGACCCCCAATTCATTATCAAAATTTTTCTTTGAAAATTATGAGAGAAGGGAAAAAGATAACCTTAAATAAACTTGGACAAAGTTTACACTTTTGTAGAGTAGCAAATTGTATTTGTTTATAATATTCAATAGGTAAGCTGTGTAAAAGAAACATCAATTCAGTGACATTGAACAGAACTGATAGCCTGAAGGAGAAACTAGAAGCAAATGATTTTGTTAGGATTCCATCACAGTAATTAAACTGTCAGCTGACATTTAGGTCAGGTTGTCAGATGTGATTTAGGCTGGAAGTATAGAGTTTGAAATATCTGTATATAAACTTACAGGTAGAAAATTACAATATTTTAGATGATCCTAATATTTAAGGTTGCCAAAGAAGGAAAACAAGTATTACCTTGCAGTAATTTGTTCAGTGATGAGAGGCATCCAATGCCAGACACTGAGAATTTAGATTGAACCAAAGATAAGTAAGATAACTGATCTTTGCCTTCAAGAAATTGAACTCTAGGGTAAGAAAACTATTCCCTAAGTAACTTGGTAAAGGAATGTATTAGCTAATAGGAGAGATACCTAGAGAAGGTTTAAGATCAACACTAGATTGAAGTGATGAGTAGGTTCATATAGCAGTTTTAATTATAATAATGAATTATAATCAGTATAGGCATCATTCCTTGGCTTTGGGGAAATAATGAGAATTAAGGGCTTAATAAAAGACTGAATAGTTTGTTAACATCCAAATAACAGATCAGAGAACTAATGATCTGCT